CGCCCCGTGCCACCTGTCCCCAACAGCGGGGGGACATCCGTGCCACGCAGCGACAGCTGCCCCCAAGAGTCGGGACCCCCCCCCGCCCCCACCCCCAAAAGCGCATCGCTTCCCTCCGCCCACCAGCATTTGGGGCCGCCCCACAATGGGGGTGATGACTGAGGGGGGGGGGCGTTGAGGGTCAGGGCGACGCTCGGGGTGGGGGGGTGTCCCGAAATCACTGGGGGTATTGGGGGGGGGGATGGATGAGGTCGTTGCCATGGTGACGGCAGCGGGCTGAGGATGCTGCGCGGTCTGTGAGGGATCCGCCGGCGTGGGGGGGCTGGGAGGATGGGGGTGGGATCCCCCCCCTGTGCCCACCCCGCCCCATAGCTGTGTGTGGGCCCACGGAAACCCACTGTGTGCTGTGGGGGGGCACCTGGGGGGAGTTGTGGGGGGGGGGGTGTCACTCTGTGGGGTGGAGGTGGGCGCCCTGCTGGGACGGGGCCCCTGACCCCGTGAGGTGGCACCAGTGACCTTACTGGGATGGATCCCAAACCTTACTGGGACGGGTCTGCCATTCGTTGGGGTGGTGCCCAGGACCCCACTGGGATGGGTTCCGCTCATCCTGGCAGGGTGGTGCCCACGACCCCATAAGAAGGTGCCCGTGACCTTACAGGGATGGGATCCCACCACTTGTTGGAACGGGTCCCACCAGCTTATTGGGGTGGGTCCCACCACATTTTGGGATGGTGCCCATGGCCTTACTGGGATGGGTGCTCTCACTTTACTGGGATGAGCCCCACCATTTGTTGGGATGGTGCCCATGACCCTATAAGATGATGTCCAAGACCTTACTGTGATGGGTTCTATCACATGTTGGGATGTTGCTCATGACCATACTGGGATCCCACCACCTTACTGGGATGGGTCCCATCACATTTTGGGATGATGCCCATGAGCTTAATGGGGTGGCTCCCACCACCTTGCTTGGATGTGTCCCATCGTGTTTTGGGATGATGCCCATGAGCTCACTGAGATGGGTCCCACAACCTTAGTGGGATGGGTCCCACAACCTTAGTGGGGTGCATCCCACAACCTTACTGGGATTGTCCCCATGGCCTTACTGGGATGGTGCCCACTGCCTTACTGAGGTTGCCCCCATGGCCTTACTTGGATGTGTCCCACCACGTATTGGGATGGTGCCCGTGACCCCATAAGATAATGCCCATGTCCTTACTGGGATGGGTCCCACAGCCTGAGTGGGATGGTGTCCGTGACCTTATTGGGATGGGTCCCACCGTTTGTTGGGATTTTGGCCATGATCTTACTGGGGTGGGTGCTGTCACCTTACTGGGGTGGGTGCTGTCACCTTACTGGGGTGGGTCCCACCACGTGTTGGTTGGCACCCACCACCCCATAAGATGGTGCCCAGGACCTACTGGGACATTGCCCACCACTTTACTGGGACGGGCCCCTCCGCCCTGGCAGGACGGTGCCCACAGCCCCGCGGTGCCGTACCAGTGACCCTACAGGGACACATCCCACCCCCCCGTGTCCCCACAGACGTCCTGCTGAAGGTACAGGTGTACGAGAGCGGTGCGCTCACCCCGCTGCCCCAGACCAACCTGGAGGTTCTGGGACCCCGCGGCTCTCTGGCCACCGGGACCACCGACCACGAGGGCGGGGGGGTCCTGCCCCTGTCCTACAGCCTGGGCACGTGGGTGCTGGTCAGTGCAACCCGACGGGGCTTCGTCACCTCCACCGTGCCCTGGCGTGTCACCAAACTGCCGCGTGAGTTGGGACCCCCACCCCTGGGGGGGATCTGGGAATGAAGCGAGACTCGATCCCTTATGGGGGGTCCCGAGCCCTTCTTTGGGGTCCCAGTCCTCGACTGGGGACCTTTTGTGGGGCTCCAGTCCTTTAATGGGGTGCTTGGACGCATCCCAGTCCCTTGCTGGGGGACTCTGATCCCTTACTGGGGGGCTTTGAGCCATTATGCGGCCCCATCCCCTTCCTAGGGGGTCCCAGCCCCTTACTGGGGGGCTTTGAGCCCTTCTGGGGAGCCCAGCCCCCTACTGGTGTTTGGGAGCCTCCCAGTCCCTTGCTGAGGGGCTCTGATCCCTTACTGGGGGACTCACAGCCCTTAAGGGGGGGCCCAACCCCTTCTTTGGGGGTCCCAATCCCCTACTGGGGGCCTCAGAGCCCTTTTGGGGAACCTCAGCCCCTTACTGGAGGATTCCAATCCCATACTGGGGGCTTCCAGTTCTTTACTGGGGGGAGTCTGATCCCTTTTAGGGGATCCAACTCCCTTTCTGGGGGTTCCAGGCCTTTTATAAGGAGCTCAGAGCCTTTTTGGCAGAGCCCAGCCCACTGCTGGGGTGCTTGGGGTCCTCCCAGTACCATACTGGGGGACCTGATCGCTTACTGGGGGGCTTAGAGCTGTTATGAGATCCTTTACTGGGCGGCTCTGATCCCTTATGGGGTACCCCATCTTCTTCCTAGGGGGTCCTGGGGGGCTTAGAGCCCTTCTGGGGGGCCCAGCCCCTTATTGGGGTGCCCTGGGACATCCCAGTCCCTTACCGGGGGGCTCTGATCCCTTACTGGGAGTTCTGTGCCCTTGTAGGGGCCCCATCCTCTTCCTAGGGGATCCCAATCCCCTACTGGGGGTTCAGGACCCTTCTGGGGGACCCCAGCCTCTTATTGGGATGCCTGGGGGCTTTCCAGTCCCTTGCTGGGGGGCTTAGAGCTATAAGAGGCCCCCAACCCTTTTTGGGGGGTTCCCAATCCCTTACCTGGGGGCTCAGAGCCCCGTTAAGACCCCCAGCTCCTTACTGGGGGACCCCGATCCCTTACTGGGAGACCCCAGCCCCTTACTGAGACCCCGCTCCCATCGCAGGCAGTGACGTGTCCCTGTGGGGGGGGTGTTGTTGGCGCTGACGTCCCCGGGGGGGTCACCCTGGGCTCAGTGCCAGCCCCTGCC